ACTGTGTGCAGTTCATCCAGAACAGCTGGATGCTCTTGTCCCTAGGGATCATCAGGGATCACTAAATCCCTATCCCTAAAATTTTTGGTTGTTTGCTATTAAGCTTTTCGAGAACTTTTCCTTAACGACTTTTCCTTGACGTGCTTTTTAGTTGCAGATATTAAGATGGAAATCACCCTCTGAGACTTGGTGAAACGTTACACTTGGTTAGAGAAGAGATATTGCTTGGGCCCCTCTATGATCCCGGCCCTCTGTTTTATGCTTCTATTAAAAAAAAAAAAAAAAGGTAAGGGAGGAGGTGGCCTTTCTACCATCCCACCCTCCTGCTTCCACCACCATGCTCCCTTTGCTTTTCTAATCATGCTGCAGATGTGCCTGATGGCTGAACAATCTCTGTGTACTGAACGTGGGGCTCCCGCAGGAATCCGGGAGGCTTGCTTATGTGAGCTGTCGTGAAAAAAAAAAAAAAAAGAAAATGAGAGGGCAAAGAAGGAAGGAAGAGAGGGAGGGAATGTGGGAGATTGAGAAAGACAGAGGGAAAACGGGAGAGATCAGTGAGCAGCGACCGTCGCAGCAGGGCTCCTTTAGATTATGTACGGGTGAAGTGGCACGATGGCAAGCCCGCCCTCGTTCACGGTCGCCTCTGGATCTGCAGACCAAACCACATTAAATAAAAGAAATCCATCCCCAAGCCTGTTAGGGAGCCATGTGGGGAGGTGTGAGAGCGTGCACGTGCACTGGAGTGGCTGCATGTCCATATGTGTGTGAAGCAAAGGAAGGGGGAGGTGGGACGGGCAGCTCATTTTATCCTCCGTGCCAGCTCTGGATGGAGCCTGCCGGGGGATTATGGCACATTCTGCAAAGCAACAATGGAAACGGCAGCGTTTCGTACACATTTCCATCCTCTTTCTCCACCATCCAACAAACACAGCTTTGTCCCTGCCTGGCCACTCACCAGGCAGACACCTGGAGTCCCAGAGGTGCCCTCTTCAGCTAAACACTTGGGGGAGAGAGGAAAAAAAATGCTTCTTTACAATGCTGAGATAATTAAAGGACGGGGGATGTAGGCGGGGGGTTTTCTAAGTTAATAGTCGGAAGAAAACAAGACACATCTCAGAATCAAAGCTCATTAAAATCACGAGTGTGATGAGATGCTTCCTTCTCCTCCACCTCCTCCCTCATCTTTATCACCCTAGAGCAAGTGCTGCAAACAGCCGAACCCGAGTCAATGATGGCGCAGATTACTCCTTTATTGCTTAATTCACCTACAATACATGACTCACAGGGACACCATCACCTTGAGCAGTGTGTCCCCATAAGGTCCAGGAGAGTGATGCTGATTTCTTTGCTCAGGCCACCTTGCTCTGTTTTAATAGTGTCAGCAGGGCTTGGCTTAGTAGCTTTCAATCACTGAGGTGTGTGTCCGTGTGTGTGTGTGTACGTGTGTGCCGGTTGTGGGGGTTGTTTCGCACTGCTCTGCGGAGGTGTAACACCCTGCCTGTAGTGTTGTTGTAAAGCACATTAGGAGTGACTGAGGGTGTTGTTATGGTATCATGATGCAGGTCCAGCACTCAGGGGAAGGTGAGAGATGTGTGAGGGTTTGTGAGAGTGTGTGTGGTCGGTATAATGGGCCAGCATGGCATCCGGTCGCCATATTCCCACCTTTATGTAGGCAATGGATTCTCAATGTTGGAAAAAAAGTAAGCAAGATATTTCAAGATCTTAAATCACGTTTTCATCCCTAACTGGCAGTTCAGCCCCGTTTTACTGCGCTGCAGTGACCTGTTTTGGCATCACTGTCACTGGGTCCCTTTCGCCCCTCAATTTTGCCATTAAATTAAATCTGCGGCCACTTTCAAGCCTTACGTGCAGAGCTTCTCGGGGTGCTGAGTGGAAACAAAGCTTTAAAGTAGTCCTACAAGGCAGGAGAGAAAACATTGTTTTACCCCAGAGGTGGACTTGATAGCAAGCCGAAAAAGCCCATTTGAAGGGGCTAGGCCTCATCTGTCACCGGGCAATGGAGGAGGCAGCCATGCAGAAGCCCCCTGATTATAAAGAGATAATTTCATCCAATCCTCCGGTGGTGCTCCATCGCCTTGCCGCCATACTCCACTGCCTTTCATATTTGTTCCCGGCCTGCATCTCCTCACCCGTTTCGTTTTATTACAGCTCCCACTCAATACATATATTTTAGCTCCCGCTTGAATAGGGGAAGGAAAGCGGGTCTCCCTCCTTTGCCTCCCTCCCACTCCGGTCTCTTGCGCGCTCACACACATGCACACGCACACCCACACCATGTGTCTTTTGTTGTGTAGGAATCCACAGCTCTCTACTTGTTGTGCAACGCCTGCCGTGCAATTTGCAGACGGGATTCCTATCTGAATCCAATAGGATCACAGGTAGAGAGGCACAGAGAAAATAAGGAATGATAACATCTGAAAAGAGCATGTAAATAGGCTGAGGCTTATAATTGGTTCTTGTTGTTATTATCTGCACTGCATCAGAGGTTTAATCTTTAAATTGGCTCTCGTTAGTTACAAAAGATGTAACAAAGGACTGGTGTTAATTAGGAAGAGAAAATATCTGGAAATTCAATTACTCCCCAACACACTCGCATCATATTTTCACTATAATTTTGAGCTTAAGAAGCGAATAGATGCCAATGTGTGGATCAAAACTGTTGTTAAAAATGTGTTTAACTGAAAAAACATGGAGGTGAATGACACTCAGACCTTTGTTTCCCCTCATTTTAACTCACTGCTGGAGGTAAGAGAGATGACATGGAGTGGGGGAGAGGAGAGGGAAGAGGAGGAAGGCGAAGAGAGGAGAGAGCCGGAGAGAGCAGGTCGACTCGCTCATCAATAACCACAAGGTCAGACAGGCAGTGCTGGGCTGAGTGGGCCCTGTTAGGAAGCAGCAGCTGAGGATTTGTAGAGCTTGTAAAGGCTTAAAGTAACACCACTCCGCCTTCTTTGTGCCACTGGCTGGGCCTTTGAAGGGCCAGGGAGACACCTGCTGGTGGTGGAGGGTGACGGCGGTCGCCATGCATCAGTCCTCTGTCTAGCGACACTTAGAGGATGTGGGAGAACTGGGGTATATAGCGAGGCAATGGATGTCTCCTCAATTTTTCTTACATAATAAACGTACATATATATGTGTCATTTTACTGAAAGTGGATGTTTTATTAATTGATAAACTGTATGCAGCAACTTTAATTGGAAACACATAATAAATTCCAAAAGCAATTGTAGAACACACTTTATGTGTTTTGTCAAAAACAAATTATGACAGTCTATAACACGACTCCTTACAATATGATCGCTATTTTTAATGTAAGACTATTTTAAATTAATAAAAGAAATATGCCCTGTGATGGACTGGTGACCCATCCAGAGTCCACCCTCTATTAACTAATATCCCATTGTGTCATTTTAAGTGTTTATTACATCATATTGTCCTATGTAGTACTGTAAATTGCATCATGTAGTATCCAGTTATGTTATTGTACATCCTATGTCATCAACATGCTCTACTCCTCCCATCACAACATTATTTAGTGCGAGTGGATTGTAGGACTTCAGAAATGTGAGCAAACAGATACTTTTCATTGGCAAACATGGAGTTGGAGAGAAGAAAAAAAAAATCCTCAGATGTCTCTTTTTCTTTATGAGCATTCTAATTTATGGAGAGGAATGCACTCATGTGCCCTTCTCTCCTCTCAAGTACAGGCATGAGCAGCTCCAATAGGTAGCATAAAAGCTCTTTAGCTGTCTAGTGGAGTAGATTACCGGCCCTGCCGTTAAATCCAGCTAGAGACCCCTAAGTGAGCATTATCAGTATGGTGCAGCATGCTGCCTCCTCTCTTTTTATTTCTCCCCCTCTCTTACTCTTTCCCGTCATCTCACAGGTACTTTGTGCAGGGAAATTTCTTACTGTGAGATTGGTAATGGAGAGAGATGGTGAGGGGAGGGAGGAGCGTGGGGGATGAGATGGCCCTGCAGCAGCAGAAAGAAAGATGGAGACACCAGTAGATGGAAGGATGGTGGGGAGGCGAGAGGAGGGGACGCTCTTCACTCCTCATAAATGTGCCCATTAATTCACTAACCCCTCCACTTTGAGATGCAGGTCATTCTGAGTTATAGCCGACAACCGTTTTGTAATATTTATTTGACACTCAGCGCAGCATTAAATCAGTCTCCCAGAGGCAAAACTGATAACCTTCAGTTCAGCTTGTAATATTTTTTATTTTTTTACTCACGATAATCCTGTGTAGTATGTCAGATCACAACCCCATTGTTTGGCCTACATGAAAAATTATTCTTCAGGATGAAAAGAAAGAGTACGGGCTTCCATGAGCTCCGGCTTCAGAATCAATAGTGCGCTGTAAGGAGTTTTGTTAGAGAACTCTGGTAGAGCGAGTACAGGAGGAGGAGGAGGAGAGGGATAGATATGTAGAGCATGTCGGGGCCCAGTATACAGATAATTATTAACCAAAGATTACATAATGGCTAAGTAATGTAAACAGAGAGCCACATGCCAAGTTAATGGTCCCACAGAGCCGGATGGAGGAGCTTCATGCAGTTTTCTGAGATAATGCTGACAGACTGTGAGGTTTGACGCATTATGTTTGCATGTTTTTGCGGGTGTGTGTGTGCGTGTGTGTGTGTGTCCTTCCCTACCTCAGTTCATTTTCACCCAGAGGCGCTTTAAACACGGCCAGACATCCTGCCTTAAGTCCAGCATGTCTTTTCCAAAGGTGTACAGGGCCAACCGCCTGGGCTTGTTAAGGGTGTCACAGGAGCTGAGAGAGAATGTCATCCTTTGGGCTCTGTGAGGTGCTTGTCACCTGCCAAATCAATATCCCCCTGCTGGACTCACTGCATACACACCTACACAGAGAGCGTGAGAGACCGAGAGAAAGAGTCTGTATCCTGGTAGTGATGTGATCAGCAGCTTCCCTTGGAGCTGAGCCTTAACACTTGTCTGTGTTTCTGTTACAGAACTCTCCAGTTTAATGGCTGGCAGATAGAGGCCAGACGGGGACAATCAACATGAACTCGATTCCGTCGATGGACAGACACATTCAGCAGACCAATGATCGTCTGCAGTGTATCAAGCAGGTGAGGCAGAGGGGACGGCACCGGTTCTCATTCTGCAATCTGATTTTAATCTGGCTTCCAGCAGTGATGTTATTTTAAAATTATGCCCAAAATCATTCGTAACCTCGGTGAATTTAAAATTTTAATTATTTTCATTCAGCCAAAAAGTGTGTTTCTGATAGAAAACATAAGAGGAGTCTTTCATTTCTCAATGAAAAATGCAAAAAGTGTTTAAGTGGTGGAAAAAAAATATATTAGTCTTGTTTAATTTAAAATAGGGGTGCACCAAATTGGCTCAAATTTTTTTTTTTTTGGTTACATTTTGGGAGATCAGTGATTGGCTGATACTTACATGTGAAGACGATCTCATCCACCTCAAATGTCTAAAAATCAATCACTTTCCTCTATTGGTTTGCCTACAGTTAACAATTTCCAATTACAAACTCAAAATAATTGGAAATAAATGTATTGCCTCTACAACAACCAAACAGTTCTTCTAATTGTTGAGTGTGTTTGCAGTATATGTTTTGTATGAAATTTCCACTTGTCTTCTGACAATTTATTCGATGTGTTTCAAGTCTTTAAGGTTGGAAAGCCTCTTTGCTGCAATGCTAATCTTATGATCTGTTCACAAATTCCCTATCAGGTCATGCTGGTCTTAAAAAACTGCAAAAATGCTCAGTTTTACTCGTTTGGCATTAAAATGTTCAGGTTTGCTAATTTCATACAAGTTTATGTGTCAGTTTTTCTTTGAGACTTACAGTATATACTTATCATACAAGCAGCCTTTAAAGTTGTGAAGAAAATATTCTCTACTCACTTTGTATATGTCATTTTAACCACAAAATGACTCTAATTCTACAGTAGAAAGAACTGTAGAAAATGATCAACCTAACCATCAGAATGCTCGTCAGCATTCTCACTTGACCGCAGGAAAGTGACTAATCTGCTCGGTTCCTGTTATCAGAACTCTGGTGTGACTCGGGTTACTGACGGGGGTCAAAGAGCAGGAGCTTTTCATCCTCCTCCACCAACCCCTCCACCTCCGCTGACTCCCAACAAATCCTTTTGTTCCCGCTTTTCCACAGTTTACTGCGGGACGAATCACCGGCAAGAATTACACAGACATACTCATGTAACCCCAGACTATGGGGATCTGATCCCAGCTCTTAAACCAACGTTACATTTGTTTCTGGGCTCAGCACCGCGGTCCCTCAGAACGACACAAAGTAGGCCTTTGAGGTGGTGCTCGTCATACTTAAACATGTCAGTGACAGATCCTTTTATCCAGTGGGGGAGTTTGAGACAATATGTGGCTTTGATGTTTTTAAGAAATAAGACGAAGAGAAGTAAACACTCTCAGTCCTCAGCCTGGCTACCTTTATCGCAGCAGGGTGTTAAATAATTCAATATCCACTCCTCTAGTTCTAATGAACGTGGAGATTGTCTATTAAAGTGGGTTCACACAAGTGCAAAAAGGGGTTTGCTGGTGTCTAACAACAGTTTACACAGCTCAAATGTTTCGGGGTTAAATGTATTAACCCGGCAGGACAAAAATTTAAACAAATACATCCCAATGTTAGCGCCTGAGGAGGCAGCACAGGGGTAAACACACCAATTAGAGAGATCCATGGCACACGAGTAGGCCTCCAGTCTATCTAATAAATGGTTAAAGCGTGGGGTCATTTCAAATCGACCAGTAAGAGCCAGCACCCTGCTAATAGAGGCGAGCTTTGTGCTGCAGACAATCAGGGTTTGGAAGGCCCGCATAATAAATACCATTTATGTCCTGCCAATTAGACTAGCGGCGAGCCCATTCAGCTGGCCTTCTATTCTCCTCCCCGCGCACAAAGATGATCATCAGGGGAGATCAGAACAATTAACTCGCTATCTTCTCCCCTCCCTCGCTCCCCATTGTCCAATATCCAAGCTATTAAAATAATTAAGGAAATATTGTAAACCAATCCAGCTGTTTGCTTTAATTGAAACTGTAGCGCACGCTGAAAATTTTTTGGCATCTCAAAGAAAGGCCCGGGAATACAAATGAAGCCCGGTCTTTTGTTAAGTGTTGTTTCCTGGAAGATGCGACACGTCCGTGTGACTGCTCCCAGCCAGAGCGGCGGACAGGGTAACAAATTGATTTTGTTGCTCAAATGATGAATTGCTGCTGAGCGCGATGATAAAGTGGAGGAAATTGGAATCTGTCAACGTGATTGAATCAGAGGGTTGAAAGTCAGATCAGAAAATCATTGCTGTGGTAATTCTCAAATTACTGTTCTGTTGTAAAACTGCAATAATGGAATATTTAAACAATAACTCAGCCAAATACTATCTGATGAATGAATGGATCTTTTACTTAAGAACCTGGAGCAGAATATTAGCTTCTCTGTGCCGTTTTTCTCCGGTAAGACAAAGAAACACGATGCTATTAGCTTTGAGAGGTGTAGACATTACCTCACAAAAGTATGCATACCCCTACAACTTTTTGTCAACATTGTGATTTTATCAGAAAGAACAACACTTATTAGTGCATAATAAGAATTGTAAAATTGAAGGAAAGCAACACAAAGACAAATTTGAGTTGAGCGGCATTTTCATCCCTCTATAATCTAATACCCTTAAATAAAATTCAGTAAATCTAATTCTTCAAGAAGGCACCTAAACTGTGTCATTAAGGTTCAATATACCACAATTATTACATAAAGTCTAAGTCACATCTCAAATCTTTTCCCCAAGTACAAGTAAAATTTATTTCTACAGGGGAGAAATCCAAGTCAGACCTCAATTATTTCCTCCTAAGTCCAAGTTAAGTCTTCAACATTTTTTTGATTTTGATTTTGATTTCATTTAGTCCCAAATCAAATTAAGTCTTGCCTTCACCCCAAGTTATGTATTGTCCTTCACTCAAAGTCCAAGAAAGTTTTTAAGTCTTTAGGGTTAAAGTTCAAGTCAGATCTCAAGTATGTCATCCTGAGTCCGAGTCAGCTACACATACATTTAATCTCTAGTGTTCCCTCTTGAAGGACACAGATAACCTGCCAACAGGAAAACTGTACTGATCTGGCCCAGTCAAAGTCTATATCTAAATCCCAATGAGAATTAGTGACAAAACAAGAAAACTGATTTTTAGTGTCACCCTCCATTGAATCTGATTTAGCCTGTTTTTATTTAAGGAATAGCTCTGGCAAATGAAACTTTGCATAGCATAGAGAATATGCTACAATTGTTACATTTTTATTTGTAAAAATAGTTTGAGAAACATGTGCCATTTTCCTTTCACTTGACAATTATGCACGATTTTGGTGTAGCAGATAAAACATTTGTAGTTGTAACATAAAATGTGAAAGGTTCAAGTTTTTGAATGCTTTCGCAAGCCGTTGCATGTTGTTTTAGTGTTTGTGAAGCAGCAACCTCACAAGAACACATCTTTAAGAGCTCACACAAAGGAGACCTACTGCATTTGCTCGGGTTAACCTCCAAACAGATGCTAAAAACAGCAATCTGATTTTACCCTGGCACATATTTTACCTGACAGTTTGTTTTTCTCTTGCATCTCTGAATTCCACCGTTGTGAATAGTTTGGGAGAGAGATGGGTTGTCTGATACTGCTGGTATCTATTTCGGAGATACTATTTTCCTCTAACAGTGGGGAAGCCGGCTTGCTGTCAAACTCTAGTCTCTGGTGATGCATTTATGTGGTGGAAGCTCTGCAGAACCCTGCAAACTGTCCTCTCCCTGCAGGAGCACTTCCTCCAACTCCTTAGCACCAATATTTCAAGATAAAGTGGAGCCGCTGCTGCTGCTTAGACCGCACAGCTGTTTTTGTCTAGCTGCTGCTGAGCTCCCTTTCCTGGGTTAATTGTCTCCATTAATATGTTTCTCTGTTGCACCGATGAATGTAGAACAGCAGCAGCATTTATTTATTTATTTTTGTTGAATGGAAAGAGCGTGTTTGCCAGATCGCACGCTCTGTCACTTCCAGTTAGGCTGCAGATACGCTTGATGTTTTCCAGACGTGACTATAGAGGAGGGCTGTGTGTGAGTCTCAGGACGCCGCACGTCGTGTCCATCTTTGTCTCCCACCCTCGAACTGAGCCGAGCTTTGACTGGTGTGTAAATGTTGAGTCAGAGAGAGCAATAGAGTAGCGGAGTGGGTGGAGGGTGTTTCTTGGCCACTGGTTTGGGTTTGATTGGTGGTTTTTTGGCCGTGGAGAGGGGAACATCTGTGGCATGGCAGTGCCAAGCACTCTCTGTGACAGCCACACTGGTGGGACCAATTGTTCTGAGTGCAAAGAACAGTAATCACTTCAAGCCCAAGTGGCGGTGTGTTTTCATTCTCCTCTCTCCCGCTCCATCCAAGGTGCGCTGATTGCTCGTGTTGTCCAGCTTCCAGAGACTCTCCTAAATTTAGCATCTGTATGTGTTTCACTTCAGAAACTTACATGCACTGGAAGTCTCACTTCAACATGAGTTCCCTTAGTGTATCACAGTCACAGACAAAAACAGAAAATAAACTACCCTGATTTCATCCATCCCCCCAACTCCCATCAAATGCCAGCTTCACAAACTGATATGAAAGCTGCCTTATCAAAACCTGACCTCTGCTGCCCCCTAAAGAGCAAGCAGGAAAAAGCAGTTCTCCAACAGCGAAATCAAAGCACACACACACATTAAGAAGACAGCAGTTTGCTTTAAGATGACAACCCACTCTATTCACCTTTGATGCAGTGGAGTTGGAGTTCCTGATTGGAGCAAGTGCACTGTAAAGGTTTTTGTGCGTGATCTCTGTAAAAGCTCCAGATTACTCCTGGGTGCTTTCTTTTTTAGATTTAAAGTAAAACAAAATCGTGATCAGCATTGTTGCTATAAAGATGGGATCACAAGCAAAACCATAATTCAATTTTATTGTCCTCTTTGTTTCCCCACAGCACCTACAAAATCCAGCAAATTTCCAAACAGCGGCGACCGAGCTGCTGGACTGGTGCGGAGACCCCCGAGCCTTCCAGCGCCCCTTCGAGCAAAGCCTGATGGGATGCCTAACGGTGAGTCCCCAGCTCCACCCTGCAGCCTCGTTGTTTCAAGGGCGACGAAAAGAGCTGCTAAAAACAACTGCTGTGTCGGCTTTTTGCGTAACTCTCTCAGGGACATAAGACAGCTAATGTTTTCTTGCCTGATCTTCAATAAGGTCACTGGGTAAAAAAAAAGCACTTTGTTCAAGAGGGAGCACTCAGATTTATTCTCCTTTCAGTGACCTCATTAACAGCTTGTGCGGAGGCTGGTGAATTTAACGAAAAATAAAACAACTAATCAAATCGAGTGTTAAAGCAATGGTTCGTTGCAAGAAAATATATTTTTGTCTTGTAAATAACCCTTTTTTGCCATGGATACAGAAAAGACCTTCAAAAAGAACACTAGCGTGGACTGCAGAGAGTTTCACTCACCTGTCACCTTTGCTTTAACGCGCTGCTTCTAGCAACAGATGAAAGAAAAAATACGCTGCACCTTTAAGTGCAGCCTGTATCCCCTACAGCAGTGCACGAAAGTCAGTGAAGCCACTGTGACACATCGAGCGACTGCTTCTGTCGCTGCTTTAATGTGCACCAGCAGGTGACTTCTCCTCCATTCTGCCAATTCAATTTGTGTCCTGCCGTGAAAATGTCGCGGCTTCTTCCTTTTAGTTTATGAGCTCTGTAGACCCGAGTTAATCTAATGTAATTGCAAAATTACACAGCACTCCATCCTGTGGAGTTCATGTTTTCACCTGCAGTGTCTTGTAAAAGTACAAAGCGATTTTTCACATTACGTCCACAAACTTCCATTTATTTTATTGGAACTTTATATGACAGACCAAAAAAAAAAAAAAAAAGTGGTGCATAGTTTTGAAGCAGAAAGGCAAAAAACATGTTTTTCAAAGATTTTTAACCAAATAAAAATGGAAAAATGGGGCATGCATTTGTATTCATCCCACTTAACTCTAAGCCCCTTAAAAAATATATGTTGCACCTAATTTATAAACAGACTTCCCATATGTGTAATTCAATCTCAGTATAAATACATGTGTTCTGTGAAGGTTTGTTAGAGAACATTACTGAACAAACGGCATCATGGAGACCAAGGACCTCAGCCAACAGATCAGGGGTTGGGATATAAAACAATATCCCAAGCTTTCAAACTCTTTCAGAGAACTGTTTAGTCAAATATCATCATCTGAGGATGACACAAATGTTCCGTCACAATTTACTATAATAGTAAAGCAGCTTGTGTCACAGTCATATAGCTGGTGTAATGTAAAAGATATAACACACATGTTGGCCCTATTTAGGACAAACCCACCTAAACTCCACCAACTGTGTGCAGTTAAAGACCTGGAATTAGAACCGCTTTTTACATTTGAAATTACCATTCAGGAAAACATCCCTCAGGAGCTCAGATTGTATTTCGGCTGTCTCCGCTCAAATTTTTTTCTGCTTAATTGGACACTCCTCTAAATAAAGCCCAGATGTACGTATCCTGAGCTGGTGTCACGTCAGGACTATATTTACTGGAGATAATGACACAGTACATGCGGCAGAGTTCAGCTCTACAACCTCAGAACTTCTCGAAGTGTGAAGGCGGGACGTTGAAAGGAATGAAAGATCTCGAAGAGGGTCCAAACAGAACCCTGTATGTCTTGACGGGTCATCGTGCTTTGAGGAGCTCTGTTTGAGCTGATAATGGTAAGGGTAAATTAAAGGATTGTTGCAGGACATTATGGTGATTTACATCGTCTCCGATGGCATGTTGATGTGTCTCCTAATGTTTCCTCTCATTGGGTCATCTCTGCGCTGGAGGCCACATTTGCTTCTCATCCTGCTGTCAACCGACTCATATGGAAGCTATAAACTCTTAGTATGGCCATCATTTAAGCTGAATTGGATCTTTGATGCTGCCAAAAGGTCACTAGATCAAGTAAAATGCAGCATCCTCAAGAAGAGTTAAATTTGTCATGTCTATTCATTACTTTTTACTATCATCAAATAAAGTTGGAAGGTTTGACTGTTTACAGAATTTCAGGTTTGAAAAGCATATAATATTTGTAGAATTTGATGGAAACGGCCCTGTGGAATAACTTAAAACATTTATTTAAAATTTGTTGACAACATTTCCCAACCATTTATATGAAATAAATACAAATGTATAAATGTTTCAGCATTTTTGGGTATTTATATAATAAATAACTATTCAGGATTTCTAACTTATCACTTTTCAAGCTTTTCAGCTTGTTTTTATTGATAAAGATTTCCTTTTTCTTGCAATGGCTGAATTTCTGAATGAAAATTCTATACAATCCTCTTAACAGTGAGTTTTGTAGATATTTCATTTATGAATCTCCTCACTGCATGTGGAGGAAGAATAAATAAGGCCAACAGGCCAATAACCCTAAACATACAGCCAGTGCTACAATTTAAGTATTTAGATCAAAGCATATTTATGTGCTACAATGGTTCTGTCAAAGTCTTGAATCCAATTTAGAATATGTTGCAGGATTTGCTGTTCAGAGCTACTCTAATCTTAAATTAGATTTTTTTTTCCTGTAGTGTGACTAAATTCTACAGCAACCCTCTTAAAGCTAAAAAGGTTTAAGAACGATTAAAACTCTTGTACTGTAAATCACGTCACTGAAAAATGGTTATAATCATATTTTTCTATGATTCTTTTAAAAACTGTTTTGCCTCCTCTCACTGTGTCCAGGTGGTCAGCCGCGTAGCAGCGCAGCAAGGCTTCGACTTGGACCTGGGCTATCGGCTCCTGGCCGTCTGCGCTGCCAACAGGGACAAGTTCACTCCAAAATCGGCAGGTAAGACCAGAGTTTTATCTGCAACCCTGGTACTTTTATGCATAATTACTGCTGAGAGCGCAGATCTTTAAAAAAATAATAATAATAAAAAATACATACAACCGTGTTTAGGAGCAGCTCACATGAACATAGCTTTCATATAATCTCACAAAAGAAACAAAGAAACTTAATTTATGGTTTCAGATGAAGAGTAATAATCTGTGGGTGATCACAGATTATCACTGCTGATGGCATTTTGTGTTTGTAGAGTTTACAGACATTGATGAATTACTGGTGAAAATTCAGATATCTTAGGTGTTTACAAGCTGGCAGAATGGCGAGCTGAAGCGTGGTGGGAATAAATATTTCTAGGTTGTCAGTAGCGGAAAAGATAAGAAATATTTTGTGATCTTTTGCAGGTGACGATTTGTGGTTTCCACCTTTCATGAATCATGGGAAAACCTGCGCTTGACTATGCTGATTTAAGAGAGTGACAGTCACATATTGGTTTAATTTTGTATGTGTTTGATTTTCTTTTCTCTGCTTTATGCGCAGGTCATGCTGCTGTTATTTCAGCTAAGAGTTAGGAATCAGTCTGTCTGCAAATAACTAAGACAGCCAAATGTTCTAATTCTGCCTAATGCTTAATCAAATCTCAGGGCCTATTTTATGAGCTTAGATAAGATTGCCAATTGATCCGCAGTCTGAATAATTTCCTGCTACAGTAATCATTTGGAAAGCTGAGCTTGGCCTCTTTTGGGTGGTATCCCAAAGTGCATTTCATGGGCAATTATGTACCAGTAAGCATGAATATTTTTGGAATGGAGGCGGATTCAGAGGAAAGAACAACAGGGATGTGTTTCCGGCATTGCATGTTGTTGTTGGGGTTGTTTTTTTTTTTTTGAAGTTCCATGAAAAACAGCCTGTAGAAGCTGGAGGAGATGACTCTAAAAGGACACTCCCACAGAGATCCCAGGGGCCAGGACCTGCTCGCCTCATGTCCGGCGGGGGTTGTTGCTGCGCGACAGAGGAAGGGAGAGAATCCCATGATGGGACTCGTAGGCGTCTTTGAGTACATAGAAAACGCTGTACAAATACAAATGTATTATTAGTACGGTGGGAGTCGGATAAGTCAGTGTTTGTGGAGAGGGAGACTTCTAAGAAACCCCATTTTCTTTTTCTAATAAAAAGACTTTAATAGCAGATGCTAATCTCTTCACTATGGCGCAACCTAAAGGGCATCAAGGTATGCCCTTCAGGGGCATGCCTTGATGCAGCAATAGCTATCTTTATAAATCAGCTTTTTTTGTAAATGTAAATTTAAGAGAAATAAACAAGCTTTGAAGAAATGCAATATTCACTTATTTAATTCATAAATGTGCTTTTACAGTCTCTTACTTTTCTTGCCATTAATGCCACTTTTATGTTTGTCATTCGCTTCATTTCTGGTCCTATAAGTAAAAACTATATATTAACAAAAATTTGAAAGTACTGGTGGTTGTGAAATGCTCAAATTCGACTTTGAATTGAAAGAATGTGAATATCACACACGTGGATTCGAAAATTAGGAAAGTCGTACTGTTTTAGACTTCCAGTCAGTTAATTTGTGAAATAAAATTTCAACAGTTTGAAAAAAATTTGCTGAGTTTACAAATGTGTTAAATCCAAACCAACAAACTAAATTTGTAACTAAATTTCAAAATGATTCAAATTGAAGTAATTAAAGGGAAAAATTTGTGTCCCTCTGAAATCCATTTTTAAGTTTTAAAGTTTTCCAAATCAAGCTCTTGAAATAATGTCTTAATGCTAACTGTTGAGTTTGGCCCCAATGTGGACATCTTGTGTAAACCTTTCTGGAGGGGTTTCTGCCCCAGGACTGCTTTCTGCTCACATTTTATTTACAACAGGGTGAGAAAAATGGTCAGTCTCTATGTTCCAAAGACATTCGGTCAGTGGATGGAGCTCATAAGTTAATCAGATTGGGCCCAGCAGCTCCAACTCGCCCAGCAGCTCCAACTCGCCTCAGCTCTGACACGCTGTGGTCTCTGGCTGCTACATTTCCGTTGATACCCTCTAAACGCGTCTCCTGAAACATGCTGCAAAATTGTGCTGAGGGAGGCAGGGGTTAGGTGGAAATCAATGTGCGCAGTCAGCTCAAAGCTAAAACGGCTTGTAGCTTTGACAAATTGATTCATCATGAAATGCCTCCAATAATTTACTGAATTGGCTTTTGCTTTCTTTTATTGCAAGAGGGCAAAACTTCATTAAAGCCTTATTATCTCCACCAATTGATGGTATCAGCTGGCATATTTAAAGGGATTGTAGAAGTTAAGATAATGCTGGCTGCAAATCTAATCCCTTCTGATCTGAGAGGAATTGAAAAGCTCAACAATGTATGATTCAGTGAATTGAACAGCTGATCTGTTTAATGGATACATTAAAAGGGTGGGTGTAGGGAGGTTTGCCGCTTTTTTTTTTTTTTTTTTGCAGAGTTGGGGGAAGGGTGCTTGTCTGCTCATAGTGACCTCCTTGTGAATGGGATCAGCCTGCTCTATTAATCTGTGATTACTGAGACTGTCTGACCGCCGAGGCGAAGCTGTGCACGTGAGGCTACGGCGACCTGAAAGCAGCGAGATCACTCAGCTCGCCCCGGCGTGGATAAACTCATCAGTCCCTCCTCTCTGTTGTCTCTCCATCAATACAAGCCCTGTTAGATCTATTCCATGAGCGTCACTCCAAACCACCTGATGGCATTCAAGAGTTTTGGGGGGTTTTGGGGGTTGTAATTGCAATTTTCTTCCGAGCAGCGCATTCCGAATCATTTGCGCCTGACTGGGTTGTTGGAATTCCTCGACTCAAAAGAGTGAAAAGAGGCGCCGACTTATAAGAAGGCTGGAGTTTCTCAGCTCCTCAGGCCATTCATTCCCTCCATGTAACAAACGCCTGGCAAAGCAGCCATTCAGGAGATAATTAGTTCTTGCGCTGGTCAGGCTCAGTTGGTGCTACACTCATTTTTACACATTCATGACATTCGATCTTTAAACACTGCGGGTTGTAGTTAACAGTGTCAGTCTGATTTTAAAAAAGAAAAAAAAAAAACTAAGTGTTCGTATTGTTTTGTTTCATGTTGCTGTGAACAAAACAAAGCGGATCATCAAGGGGTGTTTTCTATCCTGTAAAGGCATTAGCAAACAGGAACCAGAGACAGTGTGGGTGTTGTGTTTGCTTGCTTGATAAAGGCAATGCAGTGTGGCCACCTGTTTATTACTGCATGCAGTTAGATTCAGTGTCTTGTAATGTCTCTGGATTAAGCTTTTTCTATCTTCATCATGTTTCTTGTATCCTCACAGCTTCTTCCTTCTGCGACTCTTCAATGTAAACCAGTTTTGTGGAGTGTATGACTCATTGTGCTGTTGCCAGATTCTCCTACCTGAGCTATGTTGCTCTCCAGCTCCTCCAGAGCTGGAGAGCAACATAGGTGTCTTTGCTGTTTCTCTGAGTGACGCTCTCACAATGTGTAAGTTTAGTTGAACAGTCAAGGGAGAATAGACAATGGATGATTTAATTCTGCTTTGCAATTGCATTGTCTGTCATGTAAAATTCCAAGAAAATGCAAGAAATGTTTTATTGCAAGGTGAGAAAATGTTAAAATGTTAAAGGCTTTTAAAGACATTTTGTTACTTTCATTCCACAATGTCTTGTTTTTTGTACTTATCTGGGCTCTGAAAATGTATTTCCAGACAATATAGGAAGCCCTGTATTGGAATCAAAAAGGTCCAATATGGATGTTTACCCCTTTGTTATCTTTTAAATAAATCTCCAAAAGACTTTGTAATATGTTATAATGGATTTGGTAAAGCAGCAGTAGCTTGTCGAGGTGGTGTGATTTTATTTTATTTTTTTCCCCCTTTGCTTACCGGAGTTTATGAGGTTAAAGTTCCTCGTACTTGGAAGTATGTGCACCTAATTCTCTGGAGCACTTTATGATCACTGAGGACTCCCAGCCAACCATGATTGATGGGCTAACTTTCAGAAGGTCTGCAGGGCTGTAAGTCACCCGCCGCACACTTAGCCGATAGTAAATACCAGGAGAGTAAATGCAGAGCAGAAAGATACGAGCCTTGGGGTTCCTCTGATCTTCTTCTCTTAAAGTGCTTTTTACATCCTGGGCAGCAGTAGGATACATATTTTTACAGGTGCATATCAATCAGTATCATTAAAAATTTTTAATTTCAGTAATTCTACCAAAAATAAATAAATTTGTACAGATTTATTGCACACACAGAATATTATTTTGCATTATTTAGCATTTTTATTTCTGTAAATCTTGACCATAATGTCTTAAAACCTATGTTAAGCCAAAATTCAGATTCTGAGCAATTTTTAACAAATAAGATCTATATATAAAAAAATGATGCAGAAATTTTATTTTTTGGTCTACAAGATTATTGAAAAGACAGGAGATACTCACTGTGTAAGCTAACAAAGGTCACAGGATGCTGTATCCAAATATATTAATGGAAAGTTAAGTGGAAGAAAAACTGCACCACAGTTACTGATGAGAAGTTGATGCTTGCGATGATGTTTTTGGTGTAGGTTCTCAAGACCTGCACCTGTGCTGCAATCAGAGCTTTATGTGCAACTACACACAGACATGAGGTGCAACTGAACCAATCCCGAATAAAAAAGACGTGAACTGTCATTCGGTGGTTCAAAGTTTTGTTGTGTACATATTGAGCGCAGTACACATCTATTCTTACTTGAGATGTGATTTATTTTTTAACTAACACACTTTCTACTCAGGTTTCCAAGAGTTTGCTTGGATACAGCCATCCTCCAAGAGCCAGCTGCTTCAGCGATGACCTTTTGTGACTTACCCTCTTCAAGGAGGGTATCAATAACAGTCTTCTGAACAGCTGTGAATTTGGCCATTTCTTTCCTCAATTGTTTATAACATTCTGTACTTTATGCACTTCATTATTGGTCTCATATGTGCTATTTATTATTTTTATATTCTGCAA